GGTTGCACACTTTAGGCTTATTTTGCAGTGTTCCCGTGGTTTGGTGGTGTCTTGGATACTAGCAGAACTAGATTGTTACTGGCTCTCTCTTTATGTGACCCAGAATGTAAAAAATGATGTATAACAGTGTCGAATTGGCATTGCCACCATGTTTAAGAGAGTGCACGCTCCGGCCATGCCTAGTAGCTCAAATGTTGAGTAGAGGGCTGCAAATTGGCCACTTGATGGCCTTGGGCATGCATGGCTCTAATTGGTGCTGCATAGTTGTGGCCTTAGAGACGGAATGGTCGCCTTAAGAGTTATTAAGATCATTCCCTAAAGAAATAACAAATTCTTGGAACCATCTCAAACATTTGGAATCATCACAAAAATAAGGACAAACATTTGGATTCGTTGCCTAAATGGACAGGAAACGTGTCGAATAATTCCCTAAGCAATGAGCAAACAATTGGTGTCATCCTCTAACAATGAAAAAATCATTTGTAGCATCCATTAAACATGGAGATAAATCTTTTTGGACTTCACAGCTAAAATAAGAACAATCATGACATTTCATACATGTGGAACCGGTCTATAATTCACCTAAGTTTCTTAAACACTACCTGGGCTCGAGAAGGAATGAATAAAAAAAGTATGCATTTTGATCCTTAGATCTTTACGATCATGGTTTTGAAAACAATTTTGATTTGGAGCCCTTTCATCTCAAACAAATCTTTTTGGGGCATACTGTTGGGTGGGTGTGGCCTTAAAGGCCTTATGTGTGCTTGTAATAAACATTTTGATATAATGGAACATGAATTTAGTGGGATTGTGGTCCCTCGTGGACCATACTTAACATTTACTGATACTGAGCTGAGCTTTACGAACTAGGTCAGTCGGTTAAAAAAACCTACATTACCTGGGTATAGAAAACTATTTGATAAGGGTTTTAATAGGTCATCCCTTGTTGAGGTCGGAGTATGCTCAGATGAGTGAGCTAAGGGACTGTGTGGCCCTTGTGTGTGATTGTGGCCTTTAGAGAGGGGGGCCAAAGCCTCATCCGTGTGTCATTACACAACATGCATATATGATAGTCATTTTGAAAAAGCGAACCACCTTTCAGGGTGAAGCTTATGCTTGTGCGAGAGATACCCCTATGCGCCATATGAGCAGTGGTTGCATCAGGTCTGGGTGACATTGGTACGTCTCTAGAGGGAACCTGAAATCCACAAATTGGGATTACAACCCCTTGCACATTGGCTAGACTTTGGTGACCCACTAATGAGCCCCTGCGTGGACTGTGGGTCATGGGCAACACTAGGTCGGTTTGAAAAAGTAAGTGTGGGTCGTAGTCCACAGTTGAAGGTGGAGTGCTATAGTGTTTATTTATTTAATTTCTATACCATATGGACCTTTTTTCCATCTAATGAATTTAATTATATTTGTTTTAATGATATATGATTTTTAGAATTTATTTGAGTTTTTCTAGATCTATGGATATTTTATTTATCAAATTTGGATTTATAAAAATAAATATATTGATTTTAGGTTGATTTAACTATTTAAATTGAATTTTATGGATTTTTAAAAATCATATAATATTTTAATGAATTTGATTATTGCATGGGGGGCCCAATAAGCTGCACCCACTATTGCAATATGGGTAGGGCCCATTAGGGTGGCATGCCCCACTCCAAGGAGCTTTCCAATTTTGTTGGATCAAGCTTTGGCTTGAAGAAAAAACTTTTGCGATGTTTTAGAAAGCCTTTGCTTTGAGGAAGTTTTGAATGAATTTTTGAAAAGCATGAGGAGACTTGTGCATATTTTTTATAAGCACAATATTATGATTGAATTAATTTGTTTAATTTCTATTGATAGGAAAATGGTTTAGAGAATGGGGGGTAAATGTTCTAGCACCTTCCATATGAGGTTGATGGCCTATCTATAGAATAGAGGGCTCAAATCTCTTTCTCTCCCCACAAGTCACCCAAGATCAATGATGTATATTCAATCTCACAAAAAGATACATACCATGGAAAATCTTAAGAAACCGTAATCCTATTTTAGCAGTATAAATAGAGGAACCCATGGCCATAAATCTCTGCACCAAATATCTCTCTTCTCTGTCTAAATATTTATCTCTCTCTTATTGGTAAGAATAGGGGGCATGCCCCAACCCTAGGAGCTCTCTCTCTCTAGAATTTAGCAAGGGGCACGCCCCACCTCTTAGATCATCTCTCTCTCTAAGTAGATCTAAGGGGCATGCCCCACTTAGATCACCTATCTCTCTCTTTTTTATGGTATGTCATCTTGATCATAGGGGTTGGGTAGTAGTAAGTAGATGCTATCTATCTTAAGCTAGGTTTTATGGGTTATATCTAAATTTGAGATTTGTGATCAAGAGGAGTTCAAAGTTCCATTAGAGGATTTGTCCTAAATTTGCTTTCCTGGTTGAGATTGAAGGTTGATCATTGATCCTGTGCCATCGGATGGTGATGACTCGGTGTGAGGTGTAATAAACCCGGTTTAGGTAATCTCCATCATTCTCTTTTTGTTTCTTGCCATATTTAATTACAGGGTGCAATTTGTATAGAGCCTAAGCTGTAAACTATCAAATTAGAGCCTACCTTCAAATAGTGGCGAGAAATATAGTTTCAATACTGAAAATACTTGCGATAGCCTTAAAATATATTTTCATCTTTATTTATAAAGTTTAAAACTTCAAAAATAGTGTAGATGGATAGATCTATGAAAACTTGAAAATCTTGAAAATTGACGGTCCAAAAATACGTTACAAAATTTACTATATCCAAAACTTGAAATCCATTTTTTTTCTCATGTCCATACATCTTGATGTTGAGATGATCAATTTGAGGATATTTGGGCATCAAAACAACCTCTTATAGTGAAATGTTTGAGGTAGGCTCAAATTTGATTGTTTAAAGCCTCGGCTCTATATAAACTTTTCCCTTAATTATATTGTGTTTAAATTACAAGCATAAGAATTGCTGTTATTTTTTTTGTTTAAAGAAAATTGGTTTAGTGGCATCAAGGTTTTCAAGATATTAGATTTGCTAGTTTTATTTCTTTGAAGCAAGAGTTTATTGTAATAATACTACTTGTAAGTGATCTTTGTCAAAAGAAAATGAAAAAAAAAAGAGGTGAAAAAAAAGAATCCCCAACATGATCATATAAGTCTTTCTTTCACATACAGTTGAAGATATCCAAGATCCATCAGATTTTTACTGTCTTAGGTGCTCCAAATAGAGTTTTTGTGGGAGGAAATGGATTGAGAGGTATGTACATGCTGTTTTAGGTCTTCAATTCGTGGAAAACCAGATGGGCCTTACATAACCAACTCTTATCAAATCCATCAATTATGGCTATCTATTAAGTTTTTTCTTGTTCAAATCATATTTTGACCATAGATGCAGCCCTTGAGTTGACCAAGTTGCTAAAATTCATTTTTTTCCTTTTTTTTTTTTCAATTCTACTTTTGATTCATTGTAGGTGCAATTGTAACATAGGATGATGTGGTGCCCTAATCGTCAACACCCTAGCTGTTTGAGACCATAGCCATTTCCAAGAATCGATATTCTCTGTTATACTGTGTTCCGAGACTCGGCCAAATCGGATTGGATGGCCGAGTAACTCGGCCTAGGCAAGGTGCCAAGGCAGGTACACATTTACATACTTAGAGTTATAGAAATTCAATTATTTCCATAGAATTGATGTTGTGAAATGTATTTCTATAGAATTTGTATGTTTTCCATCATATTTGTGAAATTTTCTTATTATAAGCTCTATTTTCTTAAATTTTTTTTGAATGCTTCTTAATTTTTTAAATCAAATTGGTCCATATTCATCTTTTATCTAAGTTGTTCCATCGTCTTTTGTAGACTTATGGTGCTTTTTGTAACTTATTTCAGTTTTGAGTGATTTACATATGGATTCTAAATATTTAGGTAAAATACGAAATGCTCAACTTATGTGTGAAAATTACAAAAAAGGTCGGTCAACCCATTTTTATCAAAATTGACCATCGGTCAACCTGAATTTCGATTTTCTTTTTAGTCTTTTTATTAGTAGGACTGTGCCCCAAGAATCAAGGCACTACTCTACTAACAAAAAAACTAAAAATAAAATACAAGACAAATCAAAATTTAGATTGAGCAGGGGGAATTTTTTTAAAAATAAAAACAAATGGGTTGACGGACTTTCTTTGTAATTTCTGCATATAAGTGGAGTATTTCGTATTTTATTTAAAATTTTAGGGTCCATATGAAATCACTCTTCGTTTTTTACTCTTTTTTATTAAAATCTTATACTTTATGAGAAATGTTTCTATACTTCCCCTATAGCGTAGAAGATCTATGCTTCCCCTACCATCCAATCGTTTAATTTTGATTAAGAGAGCCACTCACCATTTGATCCTAAATTCGACTTTGCAAAGTATTTTATTTTTAGTTTTTTATACAAATTATGAAATTTGGTACGTCCGATCTTCTCATTGGGGCGCACTTATAAAAAGTATTAAAAATAATTTTTCGATAAAATATAATGACCAAAATATCCCTTGAAACTTTAAAGGTATTTTGGTCATTTTATTTTATTGAAAATATTTTTTTAATATTTTTTGCTAGTGCAAGTTTAATAGAGGATTAGATATACAAAATTTGTGTCAAAATAGCTTATCTAAATAAAATTAAAAATATAATAATATAGAGACGTGGCATTATGATTGGGGCAATCTTAAGCCTCCATTCAGAATGAAAGGTTGGATAAAGGAAAGTATATAAGTTTTATGTTGTAGAGCGAGCATAAAAAGCTTGTCACAATTATGAGAGAGTAATGCTGGCACACAATCGAAGTCTGATTGGTTCTATGTAAGACCCTTTCCATTTTGGTCCGATCCGACCCACTAATACCACGCACACTTTGCTCCCGCGGGAGCATATAACATTTTAGCCAGAGTAAATTTGCAAACAGGGTTTTCTTCAAGTGCACAGCAAAGGGAGGTTCCGTATTTCCCCATCTCGTCTCCATGTGGGGACTAATTTGCATTCGAATGGTCATTTGCTTACCCTATAAACGTAGGACTGGTTTTCTCTTTATGCTTTGCTTAACCGGTCCGTTGTAAACGCCCACGCCCTAGACACAGTTCCTGTAATATTTTTGTTCCTGAGCTAGTTTGCCGTAGAAAAGTACATTGAGGGAACAATATCTGTGGACTGTTAATTGAAACTAAAGCATGGTGGGAAGTGTAAACGGGGAGGTGGAAGATGCTGCCTTAGAATTGAAGGAATTGCAACTTGATCAGAAATCCGTTTCTCCATCGAATGGGGTGGTATGAATTATTACTGAATTTTTGTCTTGAAACTTAGGCGTTTTCTTCTTTCTCTGATAAGGTCTTTGATGTCTTTGATTTCTGGTTTGTTGATGAATGGAAATAATTTTTATCACCGTCTTGCTGTTAGCTGTTGCCTTTTCATTTAATTAGGAACTTTGGAATATCTCGTTTCTTCGGAATTTACTCATAGATGGATACAATCTATGGATTTAGTGTTCATTTGGTGCTTGTTAGTCTTTTGTGGTATTGACCATATAAAGAAATTCTATTGAATATGTAAAGGAATTTTATTTACTCTGTCTAATTTTTTGCTTGTTAATCTTTTGTGGGAGTCATCATTCTGGTACCTACAAATGTCTGATTTTTCTTTCCTTGAAATACTTAACGTTTTATTGCTAGAATTGTTGAAGAAATCATCAAAGAACCTAGAGTATGCATCTAGATTTAAGGAATAGTAGAAGTCCTAGAAGTAAGCATCTATTTCTCTAGATTTAAGGAATAGTAGGAGTTTGTCGTTTTACTCGATGTTTTCTTAATGAGCTATGAGTTATTGATGTAAACTTATGTTCAATGCTTGTAATATTTAAGCAATTGGTTTTGGTTGAAGCTAAAGTTTGAAGTCCAGGCACAACAGGGCACTCTTTCTACCACTGCATTAGTAGAGATGGTTTCAAAACAAAGAGTTGGTAATTTATCCGATATAGAACACTCATATCAATAAAATAATTGTAAACCATTCACTGAAAAAAAATGGCCATTCCATCTTTTTTTATCCAATGCTGAATTGACGACGTTCAATCCTTGTAATATTTAAACAATCGGTTCTAGTTGTAGCTTTTTTTGTTGACATATAAGTACATGAGGTTGTGAATTTTTTTCTTGGATACATAACTCTTGAAGTTATACAATTCTCTTAGGAACATTGTTTCAAAAAGCGCTAGGCGGCACCTAGGCGAGTCGGGGGGTCCAGGCAGCCTAGCGCCTAGGCGGGTGCCCAGAACCTAGGCGGCCCAGTAGAAATTTTTTTTTTTGGGTTTTTCTCTCTCTAAAATAGGTTCTATAGGTTTTAGGTTTCAAATGAACGTAAAACCTACAATCTTGCACCTTTAGTATTAAAAAAATGACAAAATAATATCCTCAACGAGGGGCATTTCCGCCCCTGGGCAGCCGCCCGGCGGGCGCCTAGGTAGGTTTAGGCGGGTGCCTAGGCGGGTTCCCAGGAGCCCAGGCGGGCACCTAGGGATATCCACCTAATTTGGCCACCTAGGCCTCAGCGATGCGCCCAGACCTTTTGGATTGCCTAGGTTCTAGGCCGTCCGCTTTTTAAAACACTGCTTAGGAAATTATCCAATTGCTATGATCATCCTTGCATGCTCCAATGTTCACTAAGTTGTTGGATAGCTGTTTGAGTCCAAATGTCCAGAGAGAAGAAGAAACAATTTCTTGATCCTCTGTTGGGAGTTCAATTGTAATGTGGTATATACCATATATTCTGGTTGTTTGTAAGTTGAGGGTGGTTTGGTTATATCTTTTATGTATTAGAGGCTGTATACGTGATCACTTGGCTCATATTCAGTCATGAGCACATATTGTGATTTTAAGTTCTCACACATACACGTAATCTTCTTTGTTTGATAGGATATTGTGGATAAATAGATTGTTAAGAATATTTCAATTCTTAACAGCATGATGAACTGAACCATTGACACATCATGTGATGCACTAGGTGTATGTTTTATGCATCCAATACATGTGATAGAATTCCTAGTCTAGTATTTTGAAAACATATTTGATATTTTAAGTGGAATGTTGTATTATTGTGACCTAATAGTGTTGGATTTTAAGTATTTGGAAGCCGTTTAGTTTTAATAAATGTCATAGAATTCCTAGTCTAGTTTTTTGAAAACATATTTGACATTTTAAGTGGAATGTTGTATTATTGTGACCAAATAATATTACATTTCATGTATTTGGATTCCGTTTAGGTTTTTTTGCATCCTCATTTTGTAAGAGGTGAACTGATGCTAAGATCTGTTAATATGTGTTTTTGACTTATGGTTAACAAAAAATCGGATATGTGGTTTGATCGGAAGACGGAGATGTGTAGGTTATGATCCAGAAACTTATGAGATGCCAAATACTTAATGCTGTTTGTCTTTTTGGTTGACATGCATGTTTATGAAGTCCTATAATAAGCGATCCTTTTCTTCTATGATCTCTAGTAGCAGATGTTTCGAAATGCCAATGGGTGGTAGGCTCATTGGCTACGATCTAGTGGTACTCCTTATGTCCCACTAACAGTTGTAGTCCTTGATCTTTCATCTTCTATGGTAGGTATAACATACTTCTCATTGATCCACATGTTATGAATTCTTCTTATGTACCCATGGAGTGCTTTAATGTTACCTTGTAACTTGAAACCTACAGTAATACACCTAGTCAACCTTTTTTGGAAATATTTCAGAAGTTGCATCTGGTCAACTTTTGCGTGTCCCAAGCTCGGATGAGAAGCGAGGAGGGTTGTGTTAGGTTGGCAGCCAATGGACAAGTTTTGCCACATTCCCATCATGAATCCTGATCCAACGTTATATGCTCATGCTAGGGTGTTCCCTGTAAGTGACATGCCTTCTGGCACCCGGGTACATTGTGAAATGAGCAAGGGTTAGCTAGGTGTTCCTTGGAAGTGATGCGTTGCAATGATGCCTAGGTGCAATGATAAGTAGACAAGGGTTCCCGTGCTATTTTGGACCAGCGGGTAAAAATTTTAGTCCAAAAGAATAGGATTCGTTTGACCATATGGAAATAGGAGCTTTATATGGAGAGTTAGTAGATACAATGAAACAGAGGAGAGTTAACATAGCTTGTTTGTAGGAAACTAAGTGGAAAGAGGCAAAAGCTATGGAAATTGATGGATATAAACTTTGGTTTATAGGAAAGGTAATAATATCACTGATTCACCAAAAAGAAAGAAGAAAAGATAATAATAGAAATGACGTAGGTAAAATGGTCGACAAAGATTTAAAGGATAAAGTAATAGATATTAAGAGAGTAGTTGATAGGCTCTTATTCATTCAACTTGTGTTAAGAGAAGAGATAATTAATGTAATTAGTGCTTATGCACCACCAGTAGGATTAGAGGATAGAATTAATAGTTAATTGTGGGAGGACATGGATGGACTAGTCCAAGGGATCCCAAATAGAGATAGGACCTTTTTAGATTGGGACTTAAATAGTCATGTAGGCAAAGATAGTAGAGGATATGAAAGGATGCACAAATATAGATTTGAGAAAAGAAATTAGATGGGTGATTTTATTCTTGATTTTGTTATAGCTTACAATCTAACAATAGGAAATACCTACTTTAAAAAGCGAGATAAACTTAATATGACATTGCTGATGCTTTTACAATTTTGTCATCTAGTCAATTACAGCTAGTAGATGGATTTAGAGAGTGCTTGTCATCATTATCATAACTAGGTATTAGATAGGATGTTTGATTTGTCTTGCACCTGAATAAGGTGCTTGGCTAAGAGGTTCTAGACAAGTGCTTCAACTGGTTCATAAGAATTCTCTTGACTAGAGTTTATTCAACCTGCCTCACCACTTGTTGGTATTTGTATTCTGTATTAGCAACCATCAGTACTTTTCTGATCAATGATACTACCATTAAAGAAAGGCAAGAGGTTGATAAATAATTGTAGAGGCAAGCTAAGTGAGGCCATAAATAGTATCACCGAAGGTTGCCAAATTATTTGCCTTGGGATTAGCCTCTCAAGCTAAACCATTGTTTAAAAGATCAGTCGTTTTTTAAAATCGGCCGACTAAATTGGGATCAGTCACTGGCCGATCCCGAGTTGTCCCGATCCGATGGTTATGTATTCTGAATTTTTTTTCAGTGCACTAATCGGTCGATTTATTGAACTAATCGAAACAAATCGGCCGATTAGTGCATTAATTAGTGATTTGTTGTAAAGATCGCTCGATTTGTGCACTGTTTCTCTTTGTTATGTACTGTTTCTCCCTGTTGTGCACTGTCTCTCTCTTTTTCTCTCTCTGTTGGGTTCTCTTTCTCTCACTCTTTCACTCTCTCTCCCCCTCTCTCTCTATCTGTTGGACCTGCCCCAACCTCTCCCTCACCTTCTCTCTCTGTTTACATATCTCTCACTCTATCTTTCTCTCTCTCTAACTGTTGGGACAGGCGACTCCCTCACCCTCTCTCTCACCTTTCTCTCTAACTGTTGGGGCAGGCCTGCCTTAACATCTTTCTCACACTCTCTCTCTCTGTGGAACTGTTGGGTTAGAGGACTGCCCCAATCTCTCTTTCTCTCTATCTCTCTCATTCTCTCTCTGTTGGGTTCTCACTCTCTCTCTCTAACTGTTGGGGCAGGCCTGCCCAAACTGTCTCACTCACTGGAACTGTTGGGTCAGGGGACCCTGCCTCCAACCTCTCTCTCACCTCTCTCTCTCCCCCTCTCTCTCACCTCTCGCTCTGTCCCTCTCTCTCTAACTGTTGGGGCAGGGGACTGCCCCAACCTTTCTCTTTCACTCTCTCTCTGTTAGGTTCTCGTCCTCTCTCTCTCACTCTCTAACTGTTGCGGCAGGCCTGCCCCAATGTCTTTCTCACTCTATATCTCTCTCTGGATCTGTTGGGGCAGGGGACTGCCCCAACCTCTCTTACCTCTCTTCCTCTCTCTCTCTCACTAACTGTTGGGGCAGGCCTGATCCAGTGTTTCTCTCTCCCTCCCTCTCTCTCTCTCTCACTCACTCCGCACCAATATGCAATGCACGCGACCACCATTAAATGACCTTCTTTGTGGCCTTAAGAACTAGGTCATCAAGTCTTTCTACCTTACCTATTTCTTTCTGAATTATATTTGGATAAACTGCTAACACCACATGGAAACACGAGCCTTTTTTTAGCAACATAGCAGTTATATCTGTATTTTACAGGTCACAAACTTGATTCCATAAACAAGATAGAAGTCCACACTGAACCTTGCAAAGTAGGGACTTTCCAAGAATAAGCAATCGGGTCAATAAGGATAGTCTTGAGGAAATTGCAAAAATTTTGAGTCTTGAAAGATTGTAGAAGGCCTAGAACTCCAATCTATGTAACTTAGACGTGTGGCTGTGGTTTTGGTGTGTTGGAACACCTAACTCATCACCCGTGTGATTTTAGAAATGTCGGAACTTTTTATTTACTTATTTTGTTAAATTCTTTATAAAAGTAGTTAATGCCACTTAAATCCCTAGGAGTGTTGTATTGAAAAAACCAATTTTGGGGTTGATGTTAACACTTGTATTCATGTCGGCTGCTGTTACACGTATCCGTATGTTTGCAACGGAGATTTCCATCGTTCTCGGACTAAGAGCAAACACGACCTGTGAACCCTCCTCTATGTTTGTTGTCTTAGAAAACGAAGGTTTCATATCAGATGACTATTACTTCCGTAGGTCACGGGGATCACATCTTTCTTTCATTCTACCACAGGTCACTACAACCTAATCCTTCTTCCATTGCCACTATGATGGAAACTTAACTAGATTCTGAGATATTTTGCCATGATTATCGAATTTCGCTTTAAAAAGAACCATTGACGGTCTACTGTTTATTGCTTTTAAAAGAACCATTTACTGTCTACCTTTTATTGATTAACCATTTGCAGCCCAAAAAAATTCTTATTTTGGTGAACCATTGGCAGTCTATAAAAGCAGGACATAACAAGTAATAACCATTGGTTTCTCAGAAAAAAAGAAGTAATAACCATTGGCAGTCTAGAGGTCAAAACATATACCTATGAGGAATAAATTTAAATATATGGTTTAGCTCACTCCTCTTTAGGGGAAAACAAACTTAAAAAGTGAACTATGCCTCCAGGAACTGGTTGCAATGCCTTAACAGTGATGTTTGCTCTTGATTTTCTCCTGGTGGCCATAGCACTCTTCATTACCTTCTACCACTATTATACAAATCTGCGTGCCGAAACTGAAGAGACAAATCCCAAAACCATTTGATATTCTCTATGCATGAAGAAGCCCACGAATAAAGCAGTCTCCAATTATTACCATAACGATCATACTAAGTAAACTGTGAATTAAATAGTACATGCTGCTCTGTCGAAATGAAGTATACAGGTAATGTATAGAGGAACTTTGCAATATAATGGTTTAATGTTGGATATCGTTTGTAGGCATAGCTGTTTCCATTTACCCGTATCTTGATTCTGGTGGGAAAATTGAAATATTGGATGCCATACTATCCAATGAACATTCTTGGAGTTGGGCATTTTGCAGTCTGCATGATTAAAATTATTTTTTTATCAAATTGAAGAATGTTCTGTTTGTCTGTTAATTTATGTAGGTTTTGGTCCGATGCATCGTCAATAACTTTAAGTTGATTAACTCTGAATTGATTAAGAAAGCAGACTTCTTGTGAGTTGGGGTACGGCTGTACTTTCTTCGTGATGGAAATTGTGGGTTTTCATTCTGTTGTGTGGTTATGATTCCTCTATCCTTCCATAAATATTTTCACAAACGATCTTTTTCTCTCTTGTTCCTATTGACGTGCATACTTACCATCCTTTCACTTTTTTTGTTTTTCCTTTTTCCGTCTTTATTGATCCATATGATGTATGTTCTCATAGGCTCATCTTCAGGATTGCAACAATGAGTTAGTTTTTCTTTCTTGAATTTGAAGATTTACATTGCAGGAGCCCATGGAAGCAAAGAAGAAAAAGAAAAAGAAAAAGAAGGCAGCTGTTTCAGAAGAACAAAGTGTACCTTCAGAGCCCTCAAGTGGAAATGGTCAACAAAGTGAAGTTCCATCGACTGGGTTGGATGATGATGATGAAGAGGGTCAGGGAGATGGTCTAGTGTTAGCTGCCCCAGGTTGATCATCTATGTTTGTTCAATGTTCTTGATATTAGTGTTTGATTAATTGAGACCCTTTCTTGTGTTCTTGATTAATTAATGGTTAGTTATGAATCAAGAATATATGCTAGCATTTCATGAAAAACACAATCAAGAAGATGTCAATGTGAAAAACACATTGAGCAGATATCTTTTTTTTGCTTTTCAGTTGTGATATTGTGATTAAAACAAGAACATGAGATAACAACACAATGTATATACAGTCAATATTAGTTTTTTTATTTAATTTTATGGTGTGTATCTGGTTTGGAGTTTCTTTTATCGTTTTCAGATATTGTCGTTTTCAGATATGCATTATTCTGTGTAACTCTTGAAAGAAAGGTCATATTGATCATGTCAATCCTTTAATAAGAATATAAGCAACACAGTCCAATATATATGCATTCCTTATCTGTTTTGCTCACTTGAAATGGGAGATATGGGGACGAGCTTTATTTTGACAAAAGCAGCTTACCGTGGCCAAATGAACACCATATCTTGCGGTTCATTTTCTTTTGTCATTTTATCAGTTCCTCTGATTTAGGGCATAGTTGTCGAGGTGATGACATAAATAATTGATACATAGTTTTCTTATAGGAGCCTATCAACCCAGGACCTGTTCGTGCAATTCTATATAACTTCACGCACAAGCATGGCTTAACTTCACACACAAGCATGCCTTATTTTTGGATTCATCAGTTGATAACTGTTACACTCTTTCTCCCTTTGATGGTTTACTCGTTGTTTGCTTTTTTTAAGTTTTCTTCATCTAGGCACTGAGTTCTCTATTCTTCATTTATGCATTGATTTTTCTAATATGCGCTTTTTAATATATTGCTAGAAGCTGCAAAGAAGAAAAAGAAGAAGAACAAAAGCAAGTAAGAATTCCATTACTTCTCCGGCTTTCATTTGGGCGTGTTCTGACCATATTGATATTATGTTCAGGAAAAAGAAGGAACCTCTTGAGCAGACAGATCCTCCCTCTATTCCTGTCATTGACCTCTTTCCTTCTTGGGAATTTCCGGAGGGTGAAATTCAGCAGTACAAAGATGAGTGAGTAGATAGTTTCTCGAGATCAACATTCATATTGAAGCTAGCAGACAATATTGCCTATAAGAACATACCACTTTTATTAAATTCCCCATTAATTCTGAGTATGAAAAAAGCCAATGCTAGGTGATAAGCTGATAACAATATCGTGATAAAATGGATGCTAGTGTTTTGCATGTATATTAATTACATGACAGGAAAGTTCTCCATTAACGTCAATGTTGAACTGCTGTTGACATTACCATGTCTAGTTGTCTTTTACATTTGCACCTTCTTGCCAATGTCACACACAATCAACTTTTGAAAGTGGAAGGCTTGTTATAATTGATTTGAGTAATTACTTGTTTGGGTTGTCAGTGTTATAGGGGAGAATCATAGGAATTGAAAGAGCTTTAAGTGTTAAAAGCAGTGGCTTCATTCACCAAATACAACTGACTTCTATTTACCTTAAATAATGTGGGTCTTTGTTACTGGCAGTGCTTAGGGAATATTTATGGGAGCTGGAGTAGGAGCATGGTGGAAACGATGTTTTCCATTAGAAGCTGCTAATATAATACTGATTTCTGGAGTTGGAACCTTAACTGTGATATGGTTCCGTGAAATACATCCTAATATACTTGTGAAAGCTTTCCTTTAACAGTGATTGGCTTCACATGCATTGTAACTGCTTTTGAAATTCTACGTTTGCCCTTTGATGTGCTTTCTTTTCCTGCTTGGATAATGAGATCCTTGTTCCTACAGGGTTTAGACATGCTTCAACCTGATAATATAGATACTTATGTTTCATAGTATTATGTTTGCAATTTATGTTTGCTGTCCAATTTTAGCTGAAAGTGTGCACTGAGCAATATATCAGCGTTAGTTTATACAGTACATGCCAATAGAATCTTATTCATAACAGTCTATGTTTTATGGATGCATCCAAAGAGACAAACTAACTATTTATTCAATCTACTATGCACAATTTAATGTAGAAAGCTTTTACTAGAAGTGATGGGGTTTGGTGATCATGTTCAGCAAAGTTGTAACTGGACTGGCTTCTATGGATACTGTGCTGTCTGCTGTTGTTTTGATTTGTTGTGGAATTTTGAGATACCTTTGGCTGGCAGTGGCTTAGTCGATGAAAATTAAAAGGGCAAGAAAGTCAAGGAAAATGTTACTTTTGATGATGGGGTCCCGGTCATTAGTGAGTGAGGAGGGTTAAAGTAATAATAGAGTGGAATAATGAGAAAAGTCATGAAAGGACGTATTGGAGCAAAGCCAGGATTGCAAAAAGAAGGATTGGGGTGTGGGTAGGTTTGTGAGTTAGTGTGAGAGGAATGCAGTGGAAATATTTGACTAGGTGATCATCCATAATTTGAAGTTTATGTAGAGACTAAACCAACAAAGGAGTAATGTCAGTCCTCTTTCTTTGGGTGGGAAGTGGAAGAAAGATGGAAGTGCAAGGTGCAGGAGAAGAACTTACAAAGGGAGAAACATAAGCAAAGAGATCAGACGAATTAATTGTCCATAGTTTGAAGCTATAAATACTGTAACCAAACTAAAGATAAATTAACAAAAGTATTAGGGTATGTCGAAAGAATAATCAAGAAAGAGAATGATTTGAAAAAAACAAAATATAGGAGGAAGTCACTAGTCTTGAGGGGCAATGTTGGCTGTTAAAGGTACTTAAGGAGGATGGGAGTTGTGGATGATGAGGTAAGGCATGAAAGGAGGTATTGGGACAACACTGGAAGTACAAGTAGCAGCAGCTTAGCAATGGGGGGATCTCCCAACATAGGTATTGATCCGTACTTCGAAATCGCGACCCTGCATTCCTGGAACATTGATGCTGCCTGATTGCAGTCCCATGTTGGGGGGTGTGATCCAATTCCCTTCAGGTCACCTCACCCCATATTTAGTGCATTTTTCAAAGTGAAAAAGAAAATAAGGGCTGAAATCTGACTCTTCCAAAATTACATTTTATGGAAGCAGTGGTGCGTCCCATATGTATCTGCTTTTGTTGGCTATGGATGTGGGTACTGAATGAGACTCGAACAGGTCATCTATCTAAGAATGTCTATAGGAAGGTGAATGAAAATAGACAATACTCGCAATATAACATCGACGAATATCCCTAGTACATTGTTGCATATTTCTCTATGATATTAATCAAGTAAGTAAGTACAAATCGTGAAATTTAGGCTTGAAATTTACGGAGTACATATATTTGCAAGTGTGATAAGTACATTGAAAATGTGTTTTTAGTGAGAGAGGGGAATGAGGGCAGAATGTAAGTGAGGAACGACGGGTGGGAGAATTGACATTGAAATGGAAAGGATACTAAAAGTGTTTTCTCACACTAAAAAGGAGGGCTTGTCCAGTTTACAAGCTCCTGTGCATTATTAGGGCTTGCAAATTTTTCAAGGAGCGAGGACAGGCAGTTGTAGGGACTCCCTTGAAATGTACAACAGAGAGAGAGAGAGAGAGAGAGAGAGAGAGAGAGAGAGAGAGAGAGAGAGAGAGAGAGAGAGAGAGAGAGAGAGAGAGAGAGAGAGAGA